AGCCAGGATGGTCTCGATCTCCTGACCTCGTGATCCGCCCGTCTCGGCCTCCCAAAGTGCTGGGACCACAGGCTTGAGCCACCGCGCCCGGCCTAAAAATTAAGAAGCTGACTTTTTTTTAGAAATAGGGTCTCACTGTGACACCCAGGCTGGAGTGCAGTGGCACAATCATAGCTCACTGTAGCCTACAACTTCTGGGTTCAAGCAATCCTCCTGCCTCAGCCTCCCAAGGAGCTAGGACCATAGGCGCCCACCATCATGCACAGTTAATTTTTACATTTTTTAAAGAGATGAGGTCTTGCAGGCCAGGCGCGGTATCTCACACTTGTAATCCCAGCACTTTGGGAGGCCGAGGTAGGCGGATTGCTTGAGATCAGGAGTTCAAGACCAGCCTGGCCAACATGGTGAAACCCTGTCTCTACTAAAAATACAAAGAAATTAGCTGGGAATGGTGGCAGGTGCCTGTAATCCCAGCTACTCGGGAGGCTGAGTCAGGAGAATTGCTTGAACCCGGAAGGTGGAGGTTGTAGTGAGCCGAGATCACACCACTGCGCTCTAGCCTGGGTGACAGACCAAGACTCCGTCTCAAAAAAAAAAAAAAAAAAAAAAAAAGATGAGGTCTTGTTATGTTGTCCAGGTTGGTCTTGAACTCCAGAGCTCAAGCAATCCTTGTGCCTCAGCCTCAAAAGTGCTGGGATTACAGGCATGAGACACAGTGCCTAGCAAAAAAATAATAACCTTTATTTTTATAATAATTTTAATTTATAGAAAAGTTGCAAAAATAGTACAGTGAGTTTCTGTATACTCACTCAATTTCCCATAATGATAACACTTTACATTACCATAATATGTTTGTCAAAAGTAAGAAGTCAACACTGGTAACTTACTGTTTTATTTGGATTTCGCTAGTTTTTCCCTAGTGCCGTTTTTCTGTTCTAGGATCCAGTCCAGGATACTACACTGCATGTAATTGTCATGTCTCCTTAGTTTACTTGAGTCTGTGACAATTTCTCAGTCTTTCCTTTTTTTTTTTTTTTTTTTTTAAATGAGCTTGACAGTTTTGAGGAGTACTGGTCAGGCATTACGTAGAATGTCCCTCAGTTTGGGTTTACCTGATGTTTTCCCATGCTTGAACTATGGTTACGGGTTTTGTGGAAGAATGCCACAGTGGCAACATGCCCTTTTCATCACATCACACCAGGTGCTGTCAACACGATTTATTATGGAGAGGTTTTAATTTGATCACTTGGTCAATAAGCTGATTTTATTTTATTTTATTTTATTTTATTTTATTTTTTTTGAGACAGAGTCTCGCTCTGTCGCCCAGCCTGGAGTGCAGTGGCCGGATCTCAGCTCACTGCAAGCTCCGCCTCCTGGGTTCACGCCATTCTCCTGCTTCAGGCTCCCGAGTAGCTGGGACTACAGGCGCCCGCCACCTCGCCCGACTAGTTTTTTGTATTTTTTAGTAGAGACGGGGTTTCACCGTGTTAGCCAGGATGGTCTCGATCTCCTGACCTCGTGATCCACCCGTCTCGGCCTCCCAAAGTGCTGGGATTACAGGCTTGAGCCACCGTGCCCGGCCGAATAAGCTGATTTTAAATAGTATGTGGGGCCAGGCACAGTGGCTCATGCCTGTAATCCCAGCACTTTAGGAGGCTGAGGTGGGTGGATCACCTGAGGACAGGAGTTTGAGACCAGCCTGGGCAGCATGGTGAAACCCCCTCTCTATTAAAAATACAAAAATTAGCCAAGCGTGGTGGTGGGGGCCTGTAATCCCAGCTACTCGGGAGGCTGAGACAGGAGAATCTTTTGAACCTGGGAGGTGTAGGTTGCAGTGAGCTGAGATTGCACCATTGCACTCCAATCTGGGTGATGAGAGTGAAAAAAAAAAAAAAAGTATGTGGAAATACAAAGAATGTAGAATAGCGAAAATAATTTTCAAAAGTTAAGAGCAAAGCCTTAAGACTTATATTACCTGATTTAATGCCTTATGACAAAGTTACAGTAATCAAGACTGTGGAACTGGCATAAGGATAAACAAATAAGTCATTGGAACAGAATAGAAAGTTCAGAAAGAGAACCACACTTAAATAATCAATCAATTTTCGACAGAGACTGGAAAACAATTCAAGGGGGAATTGTGTTTTCATCAGATGGTGTCGGAACAAGTGGGTAGTGGGTATCTGCACGGAAAAAAAGAGGCTAAGAAACCTGCCCAAGGTCACCAAGTCTGTGAGTGGTAGGGACAGGTATTCCAAGCCAGACTTTCCGGCTAACATGTGCTATAAATTGTGAATATAAATTTATGACCCAAACATTTAGGTCACAATAATTTTTCAGTGTAAAATTCAATTTGAGGCTATACTATTTAAAAATGTCAATGTCATGAAAGCAAAAGCAAAGTTAAGGAAATGTTCCAGATTAAAGGAGACTCAAGAGACTTTGCTAAGCGCAATACATGATCCTCAACCGGATCTTGGATCATACAGACACACTAAAATTCCACAAAGGACATGAATGCAATAATGGAAAATAATATGGAGAGTATGTTAGAGAATAGTTTTGTGTGAATGTTAAATTCTCTGAATTTGAAAATCATACTGCAGTTATGTAACAATATGTTCTTATTTTTAGAAGATACACGTAGAATTATTTGGCTGTAAAGGGTGGGTGATGTCTGAAATAGTTCAGCACTATTAACAAAAACGATAAAAATATATGTGGAAAAAAATAAAATATTGAAAAATGTTAACAATTGGCAAACCGAAGCTAAAAGTATACGGTCATTCATTGTGTTATTCTTGTAACTTACTTGTTAGAAATTCTAAAAAAAACATTTCAAATAAAATGTTACATGTATATATCACTTAAGTGCTAGACTTTGTAATTTTTTATTTTTTATTTTTATTTATTTGTCTTTTTTGAGACAGGGTTTCGCTGTGTCATCCAGGCTGGAGTGCAGTGGTGTGATCACACCTCACTGCAGCCTCGACTTCCCAGACTCAATCCATCCTCAGATCTCAGCCTCTCAAATATCTGGGATTATAATTGCGTGCCACCATGCCTAGATAATTTTTGTATTTTTTGAAGAGACAAGAGCATCACTAGTTGCCCAAAGTGGTCTTGAACTCCTGGGCTTAAGCGATCTGTCCACCTCGGCCTCCCAAAGTGCTGGAATTACGGGACTTGAGCAGCCGCATTCAGCCTATAAATGTTTTTATTTCTTTCAGAGATTTTGTTTCTTATGTTATCTCTCTACTCCCAATGCCTATCCTAAGACTTGTAACAGTAAATAGTAAATGTCTGGAATAAATGTAAATATTTGAATCTGGAGTTTGTGGAGGATCCTAAGAATCTTGTGAGATTGTTCTCATCGTGTCAGTCTAACTAGGGAAGTAAATTCTGCAAAGTTAAAATTTATAGATGTAGCAGGTTTCCAAAAATAGTAATATGCTTTCTTAGGTACTACAAAGGAATGGAACCACTGGAGCTCAGAACGGCAGGAGAAGTTTGAAAATAGAAGAAACTGAAGAGGAACTTGAAAAGCCAGTAGGCATTGAAAGGAAGAGGAGTGCTTGGGACAGCAATTGCGGGTAGAGCGTGCAGTATCCCATGTTTCTACCACCATTCAGAATGTGATTTTCGAACGAATTCTGTGATGATCAGGATCAATCTGCACTATTTTCATCTCTACGTGATCTGAAATAAACTTGGTGGACCTGGAATGACCACAGATGTGGTTTTAAACCAGCAAGTTTTGGAGTCAGGGCTGGTGCAACAGGCTTACAAAGGGAATGGTGGAAAATATGATGTTAGTGAAAGAGGTTGCGAATGGATTGTGGAGACCCCTGAATGGTAGACTGAGAGAGTGACAAGATGAAAATGACATTATAGGAAGAGCAATCTGTCAGTTATAATGGCAGTTAAAAAGTGGCTCACAACACTGCACCTTAACCAAACTTGGAATTCCAAAGTGCTGGGACCTCTATTGGAGAGCAGTTAAGTTCAGTTCTATTTTAGATCACGTAGAGACTAAAATAGTGCAGATTGATCCTGATCATCACAGAATTCGTTTGAAAATCGGATTCGGAATGGTGGTAGAAACATGGGATACGTGGCACGCTCTACCCCCAACTGCTGTCCCAAGGACTCGGGACAGCAATTGCCTTTCTAATTGGCTACCCTGTTTAGCGATTACTATGCACCAAGCGCTTTACAGGCACTCTCATTAAAATAGGCAAACCGAGCCAGGCGCAGTGGCTCACCCCTGTAATCCCAGCCCTTTGAGAGGCCTAGGCGGGCGGATCACCTGAGGTCAGGAGTTCAAGACCAGCCTGGCCAACATGGTGAAACCCCGTCTCTAGTAAAAATACAAAAATTAGCCGGGCGTGGTGGCGGGTGCCTGTAATTCCAGCTACTCGGGAGGCTGAGACAGGAGAGTCGCTTGAACCTGGGAGGCGGAGGTTGCAGTGAGTCAAGATCGCACTACTGCACTCCAGCCTGGGTGACAGAGCGAGACCCTGTCTCAAAAAAAAAAAAAAAAAGAAAGAAAAGAAAAGAAAAGAAAAGGCAAACCCATTTGTTAAAAGAGAGCTTATGAAGCCCATTTTACTGATGGGGAAACTGAGGAGAGACGGGATTGGCCAGATCACGACCTGGAGGCAGCAAAGATGTAAAATCACGGTTGGGATACAAGCTGTGCCGGTAGTGTAGGAGAAACGAGCTTCCTGAGACTCAGGAGAAAGCCACAGCGATGGGAAGGGAAGCGGAACACTGAGACCCTAAAAGCCCACAGGCTGAGCGAAGGGGAACCTCTCCTGAGGTGACAGCTGTCAGCACATCTCTTTTCGGCGCCAGTCCAAAAATTGCGGTATCTGATTGGCGAGGTTGGAGGGGCTGAACGACCCTAATTGGTTAGTTCGACCTCGAACCAGACTTTCACCTGGAGGATCTGGCGAGGAGTGGGCGGGACTTCTAACTGAGTCACTCGTTTCATTGGTGAAAAGAAAACGAACCAGGCACTATTCGGAAGTGTGATTGGCTGTTGCTAGGAACCGTCTCAAGGCCTTATGGGCCCTGGTTACGGAAGCCGAGGAAGGCTGAGAGCGGTCTCTCCAGGAAAGTAGTCGCGGAATCTCAGTTAGCGGTGGAGAGGCGGTATGTCCGGTTCAATGGCGACTGCGGAAGCTAGCGGTAGCGATGGGAAAGGGCAGGAAGTCGAGACCTCAGTCACCTATTACCGATTGGAGGAGGTGGCAAAGCGCAACTCCTTGAAGGAACTGTGGCTTGTGATCCATGGGCGAGTCTACGATGTCACCCGCTTCCTCAACGAGGTGGGGCCTGGGAGGTGGGAGGCCTCTGGAGCTGCTGGGGCGAGGGGTGAAAAGGCTGTGTGGAGGGTATGTGGGAAGGAAGGGAGGCTTGGCTGGGGGCGATAAGGCGTACGAAAGGGATCACGACCCTCAGAAGGAAACTGGGGTGGGATTGGGGGGAGGGCTTTAGTTTGCATGCATTTCCAGTCAGCTCCGAGTTCTGGTGCCTTATGTAATATCATGTATTACTTATGTGTCGAGCACTTGCTGTGTGCTCAGCTAAACTCTAAGCCATCATTATCTTTATTTTACAGAAAGGGAAACTGAGGCTCACAGGTTGAGAACTCTCAAGGCCATGCAGTTAACGGCCTAGATCCGTTGAACCTAGGTCTGAAGTGCACCCACATCTGTGCTTTTCCAGTGTGCCTTCTGAAGTAATACCGTTTTTGGTTTTTGTCTTCTAGAGTAGAAGCTGAGATTTCTCTCCACACGCTCCCCCATCTTGATTATGCCTCCATTGTCTTTTTTTTCCCCCTAATCTGAGTTGACCTTGAGGCCAGAAATTCATAAATCAACCTTTTTTTTTTTTGTCATTGGCTCATGTTTTGTCATTTTTCTTAAATATTCAAGGCTGTTTTATTTAATCTTCAAGCCTGTTGCATTAGATCTCATTTTAAAAATTATCTTTGAGATCATGGTGCAACTAATTTTTTTTTTTTAATTAAGGAAAGAGGATAGACTTAAAAATTTAAACTAACTTTATTGAGGTGTAATGTACATACGTAAATTGTGCCTATCTAAAATGTACATTTTGCTGAGTTTTGAAAAATGTATTCATCCATGTTAAGACATAAACCATTTCCATCACTCTAAAAAGCTTCCTTTCCCTTTGCAGTCATTCTCTCCCAACCCTAGGCAACTAGTGATATGCAACCACTAAAGATTGGTTTGAAGCTTTGTGTGTGTGTGTGTGTGTGTGCGTGCGTGTGTGTGAGATCATTTTATTTTGAGCAATAGATTAATGACTTGTGAAAGTTCACTTCTATTTCTCTGAAGCAAATATACTAGTGAAATATTTTTTCGATTAATTTGGGGCCTAAAAGAGAAGTCTCTGCATCCTGACTTTTAATTCTAAAAACTTTTAAAATGTAAAAGTTTCCCCCAAAGAACATTATTTTTAATAAATCTTAATAGTGAACAATAACTTAACAAACTCAGAATTTAGTAACTTCTTGCATTTGTATGGTGTATGGCATTTTATGCTTTTATTTATTATTTTTTTTTGAGACGGAGTCTCGCTCTGTCGCCCAGGCTGGAGTGCAGTGGCCGGATCTCAGCTCACTGCAAGCTCCGCCTCCCGGGTTCACGCCATTCTCCTGCCTCAGCCTCCCGAATAGCTGAGACTACAGGCGCCCGCCACCTCGCCCGGCTAGCTTTTTGTATTTTTAGTAGAGACGGGGTTTCACCCTGTTAGCCAGGATGGTCTCGATCTCCTGACCTCGTGATCCGCCCGTCTCGACCTCCCAAAGCGCTGGGATTACAGGGGTGACCTACAGCACCCGGCCGGAAAGCACTTTTAAAAGCATAAAATGCTGGCCGGGCGCGGTGGCTCAAGCCTGTAATCCCAGCACTTTGGGAGGCCGAGACGGGTGGATCACGAGGTCAGGAGATCGAGACCATCCTGGCTAACACGGTGAAACCCCGTCTCTACTAAAAATACAAAATACTAGCCGGGAGTGATGGCGGGCGCCTGTAGTCCCAGCTACTTGGGAGGCTGAGGCAGGAGAATGGCGGGAACCCGGGACGCGGAGCTTTCAGTGAGCTGAGATCTGAGATCACGCCACTGCACCCCACTGCACTCCAGCCTGAGACTCTGTAGTCCCAGCTACTTGGGAGGCTGAGGCAGGAAAATCACTTGAACCAGGGAGGCGGAGGTTGCAGTGAGCCAAGATCGCGCCATTGCACTCCAGTCTGGGCGACAGAGTCAGACTCCAAAAAAAAAAAGGGGAGGGGGGGCTTTCCCATTATTTCATCTTCAGAACAACTAGTCCAGGGTGGCTTGGATAGTGGTGATTTTTATTTTAACAGAGGTACGAGTAATAGGTTCAGAGAGACCCTGGTCATACAATCAATTAGTAGCAGATTTGACAGATCCCTTGATTTGTCTTGTCTGCATAGCATTACTTCAAAATTCTAGCCTTAGCTATGACTTCTGGTATTTGCTTCATAATAAGTTTCCTGCTAAAGCATGGTTCATAATGGGTAGAAAATCAAGTTTTTTGGCCGGGCGCAGTGACTCATGCCTGTAATCCCAGCACTTTTGGAGGCAGAGGCGGGCAGATCACCTGAGGTCAGGAGTTCGAGACCAGTCTGACCAACATGGTGAAACCTCATCTCAGCTAAAACTACAAAATAAAGCCAGGCTTGGTGGCACCTGTGATCCCAGCTACTTGGGAGGCTGAGGTAGGAGAATCGCTTGAACCTGGGAGGCAGAGGCTGCAGTGAGTTGAGATGGTGCTGCTGCACTCCAACCTGGGTGATAGGGTGAGACTGTCTCAAAAAAAGAGAAAAAAAAAAGAAAATCATGTTTTTCATTTGTGGTTTTATTTCCCCCCATTTTTTTTCTTGATTGATTCAGAATAGATGGTGAGCTTGGAGGGAACACTCAGCCCTTACAGAGAGCATTAATTCAGTCTCAAGTAATAGTTGTACCTGTTTCTTTTTTTTTTTCCTCTGTGAAGATTCCAGAAGTAACTAACCTGTTTCAACCACATGCTGATATAGCCAGAGACATCACTAATGTGCCAAGGTTTCTCTTGGAGCTTAAGCCGCAGATCTTTACCTGCAGTTTTGTTTTTTTTTTTGTTTTGTTTTTTGAGACAAGGTCTTACTTTCACCCAGGCTGGAGTGCGGCTCCCTGCAGCCTCAGTCTCCTGGGGTCAAGTGATCCTTCTATTTCAACCTCCCGAATAGTTAGGAAAAGGTATGCACCACCACACCTGGCTAATTTTTTAAATTTTTTGTAGAATTGGGGTCCCACTATGTTGCCCAGTGTGGTTTGAAACTCCTGGGCTCAAGGGATCCTCCTGCCTGGGCCTCCCAAAGTGCTGAGATTACAGGTGTGAGCCACTGTCTCAGCCTAATTAGCTATTCTTATTTAATCTATTCTGTTTTCTTGTTCATTGCAAGCCTACTCATTCATTCACTTATTCAAATATTTATTAAGCCTTTACTATTTTCCAGACACTGTTCTAGGTGCTGGGGATTTAGTAGCGAATAAACAGCTATGCCCTCATGGAGATTACATGGCACAGGAGGCAGACAATAAGAATAAATAACTAAAATATATACTGTGTTAGGTAGTGGTGAGCACTAAGAAGAAAAATAATACAGAGGACTGGACATGCTGGCTCATGCCTGTAATCCCAGCACTTTGGGAGGCTGAGGTGGGTGGATCATGAGGTCGGGATCCAGAGCATCCTGGCCAACATGGTGAAACCCCATCTCTACTAAAAATACAAAAATTAGCTGGGCGTGGTGGCATGTGCCTGTAGTCCTACCTACTCGGGAGGCTGAGGCAGGAGAATCACTTGAACCCAGAAGGTGGAGGTTGCAGTGAGCCGAGATTGTGGCACTGCACTGTAGCCTGGTGATACAGCGAGACTCCATCACACACACAAAAAATAATACAGGGAAGAGGACTGTGGAATGTGTATGTGGTGTGAGGAGGAGGGTTTGAAATTTTAGCAATGGTGGCGAGATAACTTTATGAAGATGACTAAGTAAAAGCCAGGAGCAAAGTGAGGGAGCTAGCCATGAGGATATCTGTAGGAAGAGCATTCCTGGCAGAGGAAACAAGTTCAAAGGCCTTAAGATGGGAGGATGTCTGCTGTGTTTGAGGAACAGTGAGGGAGGCCACAGTGGTTGGATAGTTGCAGATGAGATCAGAATGATCAGGGGAGGGCAGATCACATGCAACTTTCTTTTAGGAAGGACTTTGGCTTTTATTTTGAAATGGGAAATCACTGGAGCAGAAGAGTGACATGATGTGACTTAATGGCTTAATGGGATCATTCTGACTACATTGTTGTGAAAGACTGAAGGAAGAGTGTGTCTGGAGTTGGTTCCTTCTGGTGGGTTCTTGGTCTCGCTGACTTCAAGAATGAAGCCACGGACCTTCACGGTGAGTTGTTACAGCTCTTAAAAGTGGCACGGACCCAAAGAGTGAGCAGCAGCAAGATTTATTGTGAAAAGTGAAAGAACAAAGCTTCCATAGTATATAAGGGGACCCCAGCAGGTTGCTACTGCTGGCTGGGGTGGCCAGCTTTTATTCCCTTATTTGTCCCCACCCACATCCTGCTGATTGGTCCATTTTACAGAGGGCTAATTGGTTCATTTTTTACACAGTGCTGATTGGTGCATTTACAATTCTTTAGCTAGACACAGTGTTGATTGGTGTGTTTTTACAGAGTGCTGATTGGTACATTTACAATCCTTTAGCTAGACACAGAGCGCAGATTGGTCCGTTTACAATCCTCTAGCTAGACAAAGAAAAGTTCTCCAAGTCCCCGTTCGACCCAGGAAGTCCAGCTGGTTTCACCTTCTCAAGAGGACAAGGGCAGAATTGAGGAGCCCGGTTAGGAGGCTGTTTTAGTAATTAGGCAAGAGATAGTGGGTTGGACCAGAACAAGTGTCAGATTTTGGATGTGTTGTGATGGAAGAGCCAATAGGATTTAATGGTGTGCCAGATTTGGGGAATGAAAGAAAAAGGAGTCAACGATAACACCAAAGTGTTTGGCTTATGAGTCTTCAAGAATTGGGTTGCTATTAGATGAGAGAGGGAAGACTTACATTGATGTTCATCCTTCTCTTTCCACTCTGATGTCACTTTGGGGCCCCTCCTTTAGCAAGGGGTTGCTAATCTAAGTGTCCTGTGTCTGTAGGTTACCATTTTTTTTGATTGATGACTGGTTAGTGTGATACTGGAGTTTGAATGTGGTAGTTTAGAATTGGTAATATAA